GGATGCAGGTTAGAGATTTTCCAATTTTTTTTTGTCAGTCTTATTTATAAATTTAGTAGTATGAACTAATCTGTTCTTCAAATCCATTTTCTATAGGAATTATTCTCTTTTTTTTTAATTTAAAATATTAGCAGATTTTTTTGTAAATATACTAATATTTCTTTTTTTTACCATTCCAACTAAGCTCTAGGCTTGTGCTCGGATATGGTTTACGACAATAGTCGAATGGCGGGATTCGAACTCCCGACCTCGTGATCGGAAATCCGTACCCTTTACCATTAGCCTATTGACGCTTTATTAAAACTCTGCTACTCTGTTAAAATGAGATTCATTTTTGTTATATTTCTGTTTTTTTTTTTGCAGGATCATTGCTTCGTAATCTTCATATATTTTACTTGAATCGCTTGCTACGTATGTTTCCGTTGCTCGCTACGGCGGTGTTATTAGACGCGTCTGTGTTCCATAGAGTGGGGGATGGGCCGTATTGGATGGCGGTCGCGAGTAATGCACAGAAATGTAGAGATTATTGGTGGACCACTTTGTTGCATTTGCAAAACTATCTCAACCCTTCAGATATGGTAAGTTTCGGATAGACTTAAAGGATAATTTCATATTAAGTATGTTTTTAAACTTTTTGTTTACTAGAACTGAAAATTTCATTAGACATGTCATTTTTGCGAAGTAAAAGTGTGGTCCAATTTACTAAAAAGTATAGATTTCAACAAAAAATATCTGCAGTAAATATTCTATGACATCAGAGATTTAGATTTAAATAAATACTATTTAGTAAAAAAAACTGTTTTACTGACCTTACCTGATTGGATAGCTGTGACGTCATATAACATGAGTTCATGCACATTCTTATTTAAAACTAGCGGTTGCCCGCGGTTGCTCGCGGCTTCATCAGTGCAGAATTAAAAAAATAGCCTATAATATGCCCTCGTGCATTAATTACATACCTCCTGTCCAATCCCGTCAGAATCAGTCTAGTCATTCCGAAATTTACTCTGAACAAAAGCGGCCTTGTGAACAGACAGACAGGCGAAAATTTAAAAAATTGTTTATAGTTACCAGCACAACGCAAATACATCTTGTATGTAATTTTTTTCTCAATATTCATACAGGCACTCCACTTTTTTAAATATGAGATGCAATGTATTCATTTGACACTTCTAGTTGGTAATTTTCAGTGTGTACCACATTCTTGGTACATCGCGGTAGACGTTCAGCTGCACATCCTATCGCCTCTCGTGCTGTACTGGATACTGAGAGGCAGACGACAGACAGCCTGGTCTGCGCTATTCCTCTCACTGACTCTCACTTTGATTGTATCTGCCATTTATAATGGTTGTATGGATCTACCAGCACATACAATTTCACCAGCGTATGTGTTTTTATTATGTCTTATATTACTAATAGCTTTAGACAGCGACTTCGTCTGCTCAGAACTGTGTTACTCTTTCAATGTTCTACATCTATGCAAAATTTCAATAAGATGTTTGAACCGATGTGGAGTGGATCGAGTAACTATGATAATCAAACGTATCCCAAAAGAACCGCATATATTTCCTACAATAATTTGACCTTAGTGTCATAAAAATCGTTTCTTATATTTTGCTAACCATGAGTTTATCGCCCCATTGCAGACGCAATGATCGTGTTATGGAGTATATGACAAAATATTACTTTCATATAATATCACGAATCGCTCCGTTCCTCGTGGGCATGACCTTTGGATACATTCTTCATCTTTGGCGCGGGAAGAGAGTTTTGATTAATGCAGTGAGTAATTAAAATATATATTTGAAACTGGAATGAAATGTTAAAATAACATTTAAAATAAAAACAATAGAACTGTTTTTATTTAAGTATTGGTGTAATTTAGTGAACCGTTTAACAGCCATGCTAAAGAAAACAAAATCTTACCTAGGATAAATCTTTGTTGCTTTGCTTTGCTTCGGTTTTTCTTCGCTTTTGCAACTTTGTGTTACAGAGTTTATTATTACTTTACAGTTTACAGTGCAAGGCCTATGGGTGGTATCACTTTGTATCATATCTGGCACACTATACATGTTGTATCGGGTCAAGCAGCTGGACTGGCGGTACAGAGCGGCAGACGCGGCGCTCAATACTCTCATGCGCCCGCTGTGGGCCGCCGCGATCGGTTGGATGGTGCTTGCCTCCGCCCACGGATATGGAGGTAGGTTAACTCTTAAAATGGGCTACCCCTGAAGGAACGTTCGTACAAAAACACATTATCATTTGTAAAACATACTGTCATGTGTAAAAACATACTGTCATGTGTAAAAACATACTGTCACGTGTAAAAACATACTGTCATGTGTAAAAATATACTATCATGTGTAAAAACATAGTGTCATTTTGCTATTGCTATTAAATGTAGTAGCAAATAAATCTACATTTTGTGGTTTTAGTAGTTTTTAGCATTTATTATATGTTTTAAAGGTTTTTAGTCCGTAACAACGAAAGCATGCATTAGGCTTTTTATGTATTTTTTTCTTTTGTTGATGTGATTTGGATTTAGTAAATTAATTTCTTTGTTTTCAGGTCCTATCAATTGGTTTTTATCTCTACCATTGTGGCGGCTGCCTGGTAGACTTACTTACGGAATGTATTTATTTCACTATCCCATTATAGTGGTCGTTAACGGTACCATTGTTGGACTTCAATACTTTTCTGTTGCTAATGTTGTAAGTAATGGCATATTTAATATAAATTCATATTTAATAACTAACTGTCGCCCGCGACTCCGTCCGCACGGAATTAAAAAAAACTATTGGTCGCAGCGTAATGTTATATTGTCTAAAGCCTTCCACTATAAATGGACTATCTAACAAAAAAATAATTTTTCAAATCGGACTAGTAGTTCCTGAGATTAGCGCGTTTAAACAAACAAACAAACTCTTCCGCTTTAAAATATTGGTATAGATTTACTTTAGGTTGACATATAGATAAAAAAAGTATTGTGATAATTTCATACAGCGCCATCTGCCGCACAAATTAAAGAGTTTATCGTAAACGATACTGCAACATGACCAAAAGATTATTTGCCAGAAAAGATGGCGCCAAGTAAATTAGCAAAATAATATATCTACATATTTTGTTTTAATTAAATAACGTACCATCTTACTTCTTGCTAATATTATAAACGCGTATTTTTGTATAGATGAATGGATGGATGGATGTTTGTTAGAACGTATCTCGAGATCTCGATGGAATTTGACATAGATGTAGATTATAATCTGGAAGAACATAGAGGCTACTTATCAGTTATTTTTTTATTCTTCGCGGACGGAGTCGCGTGGCACAGCTAGTTTTATAACAGTTTAAAAGCGAGAGAGTACGTAATGGAATGTAATCACTGCCCTCTATTAAGGGATTGGATAAAAACGTAGTTTTGTTGCCTATCCATTTATGGAAATCAGTGTATGGGATAGATGGCGTAATATTCAGTTTGTTTTTTCACATTTCATATCCTTACAGATGTACCAGGCTTTATCTTTTTTGGTATTGTCTTTCGTATTGTCCTTCATTCTCACGGTAGTAATAGAAGAACCGTTTACGATTATCTTCAAAAGTCTTCTTGAAAAAGGTACTTTGCTTTTTAGGCATTATTAATTTTAGGTTAAATTTTTTTCCTTTTCTTGCATCTCACTTTATCTCTTTTAAAAACTGAGAAATCAGCGCGGTTAGACAAAGTGCATTCGCTTCAAAGCGATTTCATAGCGAACTTCAAAAATGTATGGAGCTGACGCGCGATAATCACGTGACTTGTAGTAAGTTCCATACATTTTTGAAGTACGTTATGGAATCGCTTTGTAGCGAATGCACTTTGTCTAACCCCCAAGAGGTTTTTGTACTTTCGACAGTGGAAATTTATTACTATATTTTCCAGGACTTTCTAAATCAAACAACGAGAAAAAGAAGCTTGACGAAATTGAGGCATTTGAAATAGAATCCAGAAAGGATGAAGATTAGTGTTTGTTGCTTACGACATAGAGATTGGAATATGCCTGAATTAGGTTTAGGTACTTAACCTATCCCTAACTAGGTTTTTGATAGTTTTATTTTTATAGATATTATATTTTTGATACTATTTTTTTATTTTTGTATAATTTATATTTAACGTTTTGAGAAAATCTTAATTTAAATTTTATTTAATTTGAGAATTTCTACAAGACGTGGTTTATTTATAATTAGTTGTATACTTTTGATACTATTGTATACATATATTTTGATACTACTTATTTTTACTGATTTTTGATAAATATATTTTTTTGAATTTTCTTTTCGTTTTTTTTTTAATATTGTATTCTTAGGGATCAGAAACAGGAAAAATAAAAAAAAGAATCTCATACACTACTAAAGAACTATTCTGATTTAATAACAAAACTAACAAAATTGATTGAATTAAATTAACACTTAAAAGATTTTGAAACATAACATTAACTTGATCAACTATCAGAGTTAAACCTATTATTTTGGCTAGTCAAACGGACAGAGCTTCCGCTGGCTTCAGTGTTTGGTGGCGAGTGTGTCTCGAAATTAGCGTTCGGTTGCTTATAATGGCATCACCCCACCATCATTCGTTAAGTTCCACCTTCAGCTAACAGCATTTTTAATATTAGTAGCCTAGCACCAAAAGCGATAAAAATTCGTGACGTTCATTGTAATGTTAAATGCCCACTGCTATCATTACCCAAAGGTGTAATATTCTCTATTCCTATTCTCCCTTTGCCATACCCTGCAATGTCTTATCAAGTTGGGCCTATAAATTTTTTAATCTATGGTTTGATTTGAATGTCAAATAAATGACAATTTTATAATAAAAATGCCAATAAGCTGATATGTCAGTTTTTATGTTTATTTACATTTAAATTATTTATTTTTACTTTGTATATCAAAACAACTTGAGTAATACAAAATATTTATTTTAATAGCATTATTTAAATCTTTTATTTGATATATTTTTAGCCGACTTCAAAAAGAAGAAGGTTATCAATTCGTCCGTATTTTTTTATTAAACAACTTATAAATATGTATGTTAATTAATCGTTTTTATTAAGTCCTTAAGGATGAAAATACTTTTTTTGAGGTGAGCTACAATTATAGTATTTATTTATTTAACTTTATGATGTTTTTATTAATATATTTCTATGTAATCATAGTGCTTTGTTTTATATCTCCACAAATGCTTGGCCTTTATCCGAGGGGGAAGCGATAAATACTTTATTTGATCTACTTTTATATCAGAAAGTCTTGGATCCAGAACTATGTAAGAGGCAAATAAGATACATGTCTTTAAATAATACTCAACTTTTAGCAAAATGTAAGTCAAACTTTTAAAAAACTTTAAAAAAAATCTTATTTAGTAGCCTATGTCTTCTTCTAGACATACATTCATACCAAATTTCCGTAAGATCCATGCAGCTGTTCAAGATACCTTCTTACAAACATCATCCTTCCATACATAGAAACATACGCATTTATAATATTATGGTTGTAGCCCGCGCCCCCGTCCGCGTGGGAACTTCCCAATTATTTTCAGTATGTATGCCAAATTTAATTAAAATTCGTTCAGCCGTTCTGGAGATACCCCCTAACAAATATCAATCTATCCATACATCCAAATATTCGCATTTATAATATTAGTAAGATTTCTTTTCATAGGCTAATTGATAATTTACAGTTTTAGATGCCGGGATTAGGATACCCAGAGGTTTATTTGATGATAACACAATTGACTTTGGAAATTATCATCAATGTTTGGGAATAGATTCACCATTTGAACAATCGAGAATTTTAGGAAAGTATTGCGTAATACAGATTCCGTTAATACAGAATTTCACAATGCCTGGTTTTTCTGGAAAGAAGTCAACACTTGAAAATGATTTGATCAAACTTGGTCCTAGTGGACGGATACTTCTAGATAAATATCATTCGATGGTTAAAATGTACCGACTAGTTTTTGGTACAAGTATTTATAATAAGTAGGTACATTAATTTTACTTTAAGTTTAATTTACAAATAACATAAAAAATCAGAACGACATTAGTAGCTGAACAAATAAATATATTGTGGCAATATTGTAATCAAAGATAGCGTTTAGGCTACAGAAGGTGGAACGGATAAGTACACATTGGGCCGTCTTAACCTTTTTTGGGACTCGGGTGTAAAAATCAGTGGCGCCACTGAACGTTGTTGATAGGCTGACGACCCCACAGGGCCGTGAAGAACCGTGAAGAGCAACTATAGATTAATTGGATAAATGTAGTCTAAGGCTGTGTATTTCAGAACTAGTTCAATTTGCGGCGCAGTATTGCAAATGGCGGCATGTATACCACGAGCTTGTACCACAGACAACGCAATAACGGCTTTACTTTTTAATGCGAGTGCATATGGCTTTGAGTATGGAGAGGAATATTGTCGTCTACCTAATGATAAACCCTGGGTTACAGTTGATTCTGTTGCGCTGTGAGTAGAAATCACTAGCTGATCCGCGACTTCGACTACGTAGATTTTAAAACATAAGTAGCCTATATATTTGTTCCAAATTTCATACATTTTCATTCACTCGTTCTGGAGTAAAAAACTTCGATGCATCTATTTGTCTAAACTTTCATAATAAAATTAGTAAGATTACTTTCACTTATATAACAATCTTTTAGTTTATGACTACGTTGTTATAAAATATAATATATTAAAATGTATTAAAATATTCCATCCCATCGATATATTTCTTTTTTAGGGTAGTTTTCTCCACTGTTGGTGCTCTAACAGGACTAAGCACACTTTACGAAATGGTATACAAATTTGTGTTTAATCGTAGTAAGTATGCGCAAGATTTTATGGCTCTATTTTTAGTACATTAGGATGTATCAAATTTTCTTAGCAAGATATCTTCATTTGCAATACTTTAATTATATAATTTTAGATACTAATACTTACTTACGAATGTTCTCTATATATTCAAACACTAAAAACTTGCTCCGCTCATCCCAAAGTGAAGGCAACATAAAATGCCTTGAAGGTATAAAAACTGTTGCCATGATATGGACTGTTATTGGTCATTCCATAAATTCGGTATCCTATCTACAAAACCCAACATATTATTATACAGTAAGTATTATTTATATACAGCAATAAGTTAAAGTATTTGTCACCGTAAAATTTTAAATCTAGCCAGTTTGAAATCTCAAATATTATAATATAAATAAACTTACGTGCTCGTTGATTCCTTCATCGTGACGCTGCAACCTGCACGCATGTGCCAAGAAGTCAAACCGCACTGGGCCAACGTCGTTGCGTTTGGCCAAGTCACTCCTAACTTAGGGTAGGCTCAGCCCCTCAGTGGGGACGTATAGTGAGCTGATGACATACTCGTTTGTTGAATATACTAAGTATTACAGTGGACTTTGTCAGCGGACTCGGCATTGTTGTCTTCGGTGCCCATCAATGCTGATACATTCTTTATGATGGGAGGTCTATTATTAGTGTACAATTGCGCTAATAAAATGGACCGAAGTAAGTTTCAAATATCCCTAATAATAATTAATTATCACATTAAAATAAAAACAACAAAATACTTTATCAGCATCTTTGATTTCAGATTTGATTTGAAATTTTTTATCTTATATTTAATTCGCAGTAAAATAATGACGTTTTGATTTTTGATTCTGATATGAAATATTTCGTAACATCCTTTATCATAATGTTTATGGATAGGTATAATAAATTGTGCAACACTCTTTGACTAGTTACAACTAGTTACAAGAAAAAATCTCTTAATGTAATGCTCTATGTATGTCCACAACCCACACAGTTAAAAAGTAGCCTATGTATTCTTCCAGACTATGTTTTACATTTATGGGAGATCGATAAAATCGCTCGCATCAAACAAACATCCATCTATTCATCCATTCATCTAAGCTATCGCATTTATGATATTATAAGATTTTCCTCACGGTTACAACTTTTAATGACCTTGAACTTGACCTTTCAGCTGCACTGATGAAGAACTTACATTTATTCTACTTAAGTAGACAGCTACGTATGTTCCCCTTGCTCGCCATCTCAGTACTCCTCGATGCGTCGGTATTTCATAAACTGGCAGATAGCCCGCTGTATATATCCTCGGCGACTGCAGTGAATGCTATAAGATGCAGGGCTTACTGGTGGTCGACTCTAATTAATTTACAGAACTACATTAACCCCAAAGAAATGGTAAGGGTTGCATAGTCCACAGTCCATAGTAAGATCGTTCTGATGTCATTGCAAGGCCAAGCACAAGCCAAGGGCCAAGTATTTGTGACAATCGCCATCGTATGGTCATTGACAAAATTTGTATTACAAAGTACACAAAAAATCACATGATCAATCACGATGATGATACAAAGGTGATTGTCACAATTTGTACTACGCTCTCAGAAATCTTAAGGTCGTCACTATATCATAATTGAGCTTTAGATTTAAACGCCGATATTGCTATGACACCAAACATAATAATTTGTTATACAAATAATTATGTTTAATATGTTCATTCCTCCAGTCTTTTGTTTGTTGATTTACTAAACTACAACTCTAGTATACGTAAAAATTATAGATATTTTATTTTAAAATTTTCAGTGTGTCCCCCACTCTTGGTACGTTGCAATTGACATTCAGTTGTATATCCTTTCGCCTATTGTGTTATATTGGGTTCTTAGTGGTAACCGACAGACCGCGTGGTCAGCGTTGATGATTGCCTTCGCTGTTGGGTTGACAATATCTGCATGCTATAACTTCATTATGCTGTTACCTGCTCACACGATTATACCTGCGTTTGTATTTCATACTATTTATGACTTGGTTTTTATTAATAGTAGCTTTTGTCCGAGATTTCGTGTGAAAATAAAAAATCTAGTAATAAATATAGCCTTTGTTACTGAGTTATAATGTAGCTTTCAAATAGAAATTTTTTTTGAAATCGCTCCCGTTATTTTTGAGTTTATTAGTTACATACAAAAATACAAATCTTTCTTTATAATAGTGTAGATTGATCACAAGCTAATAAAGATGATTGTCATTTGTTTACGATACCTATTGCCAAACTTAGTTTAAAGCAATTACATAGTATCGACGTAATAATGATGGTAGATGATAGACTACCTTAGTTGTAAGAATCACATATATCTCGTAGCTACTCAACTTTAAACACGTATTTCTAATATCAAATCTATTACAGACGCAATAACGAGTTGTGGGACTATTTCACGCATTACTACTTTCATATAATATCACGAATCACTTCGTTTCTCGTTGGTATGGTGTTCGGTTATATATTGCACATTTGGCGTGGTAAAAAAGTTGTGATTTATAATGTGAGTAAACTTATTATACATTATAAAATACTCAATCAATTTTAGTGTAAAGTTTGATATTTTAAAAAATCAATTTAATGTGTAGGTTCTGCTGTTCTTGACATAATTATGTTTCTTTTAATGTCATGAGGTGGCAAATGAGTATGCGGCCAACCCAATACGCCGAAATAACGAACCGACCGTTGCCATTAATCTCTGCAATTGCAAATGTGTTGCCTATCGTTGGAGAAGGGAACGTAAAGAAAGAAGATATTTCCCCTTCCTCCGCCAAATCCACTTCCCCTTTCCTTCCATTCCTTATAAGAGAAGGATGAGAAAGGAACGTAGACTAAAATTAGGCCTTCGGCACACTTATCAGACGAAACGCGGAATTGTTTCCACTTATCGCCTGTCTTCAGTATGGTCATAGTATTTCACTAAGACTATACTTTTTTATCTTTTCATTGAAATAGAAGACAGTGCTATCTCTATGGGCGACATGTTTTGGCATAATGCTGGGGACTGTGTACATACTGTACTGGGTCAAGCAACCAACTTGGAATCACGTGTTTGTGGATGCAACAATAAACACACTGATGAGACCCCTTTGGTCCGCTGCTGTGGGTTGGCTTGTGTTAGCCTGCGCGCATGGATACGGTGGTATATGTTTATTTATAATTCAGTAGTAAACATCTTAGATCTTGAAGCTTATAGCTCCGAAGTGTAAATAATGTTCTACAAACTAAAACCAATGCACCACAAGATTGGGCACTATATTCTCTTACACAGTGTGTAACGGAAATTCAGTACATTCAAATTACCAAACGTTTTTAGGAATGAATTACGTCTTACATGAGTCTTTCTTTTAAACAGGTCCAATCGATTGGTTCTTATCTCTACCAGTATGGCAACTACCTGGTCGTATGTGTTACGGTCTTTACTTATTCCATTATCCTATAATATTTGTTGTCAATGACGTCTCTATGTCACCGCAGTATTTTACGTTTGCGAGAATTGTAAGTATAATTTAGCTTTAGCTAAGAAGCAACCTACTTATAAATTATGCTCAGTCAGTATTTGTTTCTTTTCTTCATAAATCCCCTTTCCTGTGGCGCTGGTAGGACTTCTTAAAACTAAATCTGCGTGCAGCTTACCGCTAAGTCGAAACAGGCACTAAAGAACAAGCAATAGGTAACGCTTTAACATTAATAACGTTTGTTTCAGTTATTCCAGTCTATTGCTTCTATGGTATTGACTTTTATATTGTCTTTTGTTTTCACTGTACTCATTGACGAACCATTTAGGATTCTGTTCAAGATAATTTTAGATAAAGGTGAAATGTTATCTTATACCACTGACCTTTATAAATGAATAGGCGATTGCTTGTAAATGACAGCTTTTGCTTTGTTGTGATTTAAATGCCCCTGTTGAATTTAAGTGACAGTTAATTCTATTTAATATTATATTATTAGTCTTAATTCACACCACCGCTACAAACCACATCGGCGTCAAAGTGGTAAAAATCAAATATATAAAAAATACTACAACCTATAGCCAGTCCATTTATTGAAGTCAGTTACCTATTCCAATGAAATATTGATTAAATAGTTGTAAAGCAATCAAAGATTAAAACTTAATGATTTCGTATTTGTTCATTTTCAGGTCAAAGAAAACGAAGAAAAAAACATATTGAAGAATTAGAACTACTAAAACACACAGAATAAAAGATATCCATCAAATCTTTCTTATTCTTGTTACACTATATAACACAATAATTTAACCAATTATTGTGTTATATAGTTGATTAGTGGGACTACTTTAGTTGTAATTCATTGTGATGATTTATTTTTAACGGTACAAGTGCCAGTTATTAAAAAAAATAAGTAAACTAACAGTTGCCCCCAACTTTGTTCGCGCGAAAGTATACAACCTATGTCACCCGAGGATAGTGTAGCTTCCTAACAATAAAATAATTTTTCAAATCGGTTTAGTAGTTCAACGCCTATTCAATGCAAATAAATAAATCTTTTCTCTTTATATAAATGTATAAATAAAATATACGTTTTCAGTCATTATTAAGTTTTTTTCACCAATGTTTTTATTCCTGGATTCATAATTATTCGCTTGAAATTTATGGATTCATAGAGAGAGTAAGTTCGTTCATATTTTTAAAAGTTATATCAACTAATACATTGTTTAATAAAACATATCCAAAAGTTTAGTTGTTATATTAAACATAGAAGTTTGTGAATGTTGTTTTAGGATACCATTTGATAAACTTTGAAAGACATAATTTATCTTTACTACCCATAGGGATGAATGTTTTTCAACATTTTACATCGAAGCCTAGTAGCATATTTTAGTAACATAATTTATTATAATCATCATCTAACACATTTTTTTGCAGTCTAAAGTCCTGCGTTTTTAAAATATTTTTTTTTTATATCATAAGGTGGCAAACGAGCGAGCGGCCACCTGAAATCGCTGAAATAGCGAAGTAATCGCAATTGCATATGCGTTGCCTACTTATAATCGACGGAGGAGATGCACAGAAAGAAAATATCTTCCCTTTCCATGCATCCCCTCATCCGGAAAGTCCACTTCCCATCCTTTCCTTACAAGAAAAAGGGTGGGAAGGGAAAGAGGACTAAATTAGGCACACTCATCAGACGAAACGCGGAATTTCTTCCACTTCACGCCTGTCTTCTGTGCGGTCGTGGTATTTCACCGGGCGAGCCGGGCCGATTCGTGCGAAAATGTGTAATGCGAAATACAATATTTTAATACAAAAAATGAATATTCTTGAAACCTTTTATTGAAATATTTTTCTAATAAAATAAGAAATCGAACAAGAGTATATTGTGAATAAAATTCACTCAACTCAGTGATAGCTTGAGACAGTCGGCTAATCCTACTGTACGTAAAAGAAAAACAAAGAAGCAGGCTTATACAGAATTTAGATTTTATTATCTTAGACTTATCTTTAAGGGAAATGAGAAATAAAAACGCTCTCCGCATACCTTTCCTTGAGAGGGAATAAAAGTTAATTGACAAAGGAATTTATAAGATTACTAAACACTTGGAAAGATATCAGAATAATTTAGTATTGCAACTTTTAGACATTATTAATTAGAATCGTTGGCGCGAATGGCGCGCTTTCACTACAAAATGAAGTGTCAGAATGGTTAGTGAGGGGTCGTAAACGTCAACATTTTAGTAAGGATAAGGACAAGTGCTGGCAAAAGCCAGTACACCGGCACAGTGTCGGATTTTCTTCCTAACACAACAAAGTGGATTTCTTACATTTGAACGCTTATTTGATCTTTATGAAGTATTACTTTTAATTCGTAGGGTGTTTATTAGCAGCCTTAAATATTCAATTTTTCAAGGCCTTAATGACTTTTTTAAATATGTTTAATACCAGACTATTAATATCAGAAGCGCTATTAGGCCTCCCCAAGACTCCGATGTCCAACCATTTATTATACTAAGATCCAGTTTTACGAGCCGTCAAAGACAATATAAATTTTAATGCTTTTAAATTGCCAGAAATCTCGGCAGAATTTATGTTTTTTGTCGCCATTATCTATTATTACAAAGCCGTATAATTTTTAAAAGCAACGATTTCGATTTACGAATAACTAAATCCTTCAATGTATATTTATTGTTAGGAGGTACAGATTTTAACAAACTTGCTTTACAACGAGTTTTAAAGATCAATGAAGTTGTTAATGCAAAATAGTATTTAATTAAAAGGGATAAGATCTTTACTACAATTTAGGTAGAATATTTCTTATCATGTAAACATCCTTGACAACAAGAATCGCAAAAGTAAAAATTAAGCTTGACTGAAAACATAGCGATACCTTTTAAAAGCAAAAATTAAAATGGCCTTCACATTTTAACGATTATCTAGGTAACACTCCACGCGCCTCGCTGCCCGATGACTGACATTTCTGGAGCACAATATTGATACCAGATCGTATCTCACTGGGAAGATATGTGTCCTGACCAACTTTATAGATAAATTCGACATGGATTACCAAACTGACGAAGACAGATCTGGGAATCATATTGTTAATAGTCTGGATCGATGAAGTGTAGATTGATAAATACTATTCAATACCCGATCTACTTTTTATTGCTGGATTATTATAGAACACAGTTCGTCACTTATATCATATAGTTACTGAGTACCTGGATGACCGAGCTTTGCTCGGTATTTTTTTTAATCGTGTTTTTTGGAAATTATATTTAAGTACGAATTACTAATAAAATGATGAAATATGAATATGTTTAGGTTGCTTATCGGTAAAACACGAATAAAATGACATTTTCTAAAAATGATTCCTAGCTAGATCGATTTATCGCCCCCGAAACAACCTATATACTAAATTTTATGAAAATCGTTGGAGCCGATTCCGAGATTCCAAAGATATAACATATGCTGATCTTTTTAAAAATTTAGTTTTAACTGAACCAGGGCGATAAGTGCGATGTACATCTTTGAAATTAAAATTTATCTTACAAACTCTGCGCTGGGTCCATAATCCATTGATACATCTATAATTTTTACATCCGCATTTATATCTTATCTAAAAGTATGTATATGAATTTGATAAATTTCAAATACGTATTGTAACTACGTAACGTTGCCAGATAAAATCTAATTGTGATAAAATTGTGTTGATAAACAATTTCTTAATTTAACAAACAATATCAAAAAATTCCTAACCATACCTTATTCAGATAACATCTATATTTGCAACAAAACATTGCAGTCACGTGGTTTGATTGTGTGATGTTTTTTTTATTTAAATAAGGCAACAAACCTGCAAGTTTTTAGTTCACGTCATGGTAAATGACTTCTCATAAACATATCTAAATATATATCCATTTGAAGATGCGTTTATTAAATAAATCAGACGATAGTCGACAGAAGAATTTTTCCGCGCGTATCTCTTTTTGACTCCATCTTCACAGGATTAGAATTGCCTCCAGAACCGTATCAATGATCCTCAACATAAACGCATGGATCTAGATGAAATTTGACATTTAACATGGAAGAACACATAGGCTAATTTTTTTTTATCTCGCACGGACGCCAGCACAATAAAACTAAAAATAATTTAGATATCGTTTTATAAATCTTAAATCAATATAATCCGAAAGTTATTGACATATCCTGTGATAAGCGTTTTCCTTTTCACAATTGGAATTTCGTTTGAATTTATGCAAACAGTTTTACTTTTCACTTACCTCAAACTCGCACAATTCAGAATATTGTAAGGGCTTGAAACAACTAATTTAACAGAAGACGATCTTATCGTGCCTGTACTTTTTCGTGAATATAAAAAGTGTTTATAAAAACAGGACAACTAGGTGTCGAGGAATTAAAATAATAAATGAGATAAAAACCACCCTATCTCCCAAGTTAGACCAAATTATAGCTGCATACAAAACTTGATAAGAATTGGTTCAGTAGTTTCGGAGTTTATCGCCAACATACATCGTGACATGAAATTTTTGTATAAAATTTTAAAATATTTACTTTTTTATAACCAACCAACTAAAAGCAAATTCTACGGAACCCTTTGTAATATGCGATCAAATTAAAAATCTAGACTGGAATATTTAAATACAATAGATAAGATTATTTAAAATATTTCCATTTCTAATTATTACAGCACAGTTCTACATTCTTGTTCGCTTCCGAAGATGTGACATTTCCTTTTGCATATTTTATATAAAAAAAACAATGAATCTTTCTGTCGTTCTTTTACTCTTGGTTCTTATACAAGTCAATGGTTACCTTCATTTAGATTGGGAGGTGCGGAATCAAGCGCTCAATCAAAGTTTATACGAAGACGTGTTAGATTCAGAGGAATGTCAGAAACAAATTGGTATCTTGCAGGATAACACATTTCTTCTAAGTTTATGTAAGTTAACTTATAAGACATTTATTTTGCACAATTCAAAATAATTATCAGTCTCATTTAATTATCATTATCAAAGAAGCGGCAAACGAATAAGCAGGCAAAGTGACCCATAACCAGATATGTAGCAGATGCGTTGCCAACCTTTGGTAAACGGAGTTGGGGATAAATTAAATAAAGATTTTTTCTTTTGATCTTTTTTATTTGTAATAAGTTATAGTGTAATTTTATTTAACCATGGGTTTTGTAACTGTACACGAAGGAAGTACTTATCATTAGCTTTTTTATGATACATTTAGGTTATGATACTATTAGTTTATGCTTTTAACCGTTGGTTTCTGAGACCAAATTTCCTATTGTCATCCCTGTCATCATCATTATGTTTAATAATATTATACAGAGATAACAATATGATTTAAATATCGGTTTTAAAACGGGGTTTATCTCAGAAACCCGAGGTAGTTAAAAAGCTTCTGATAAATACTAGCAACTTGCCCAAACAACTATTGCACAAATTATATACATAAAATAATCGTCATAACTCTCTTAAGACGGTGTTTTTATTAAGTTTTTTTTTTTTCAGTTCTTGACGCCGGTATAAGGCTACCAAGAGGCTTGCTGGCTGGCAATACAGTTGACTTAGGCAATTACCATCAATGTTTAGAAATCAATACAACACTTCATAATACTAATATCGAGGGAAAGTATTGCATGATCAGGGTTCCTTTGAATCAAGAATTATCGCTACACCCAATTTCATCAATACAATCTTCCAATTTCGATCCATTCTCTTTACATTTGGATGAAGATACAATAACGAAGATAAATAATTACAAATTAAAAAGAGCAGGTTTAAAAGCTTTATTCGGCGCAGATCTCAATGAAATCAGGTGACTATACATGTATTTTTAAATCATATTTATATACTTAGACATCTTACGTCATAAATGAAGTCTAAAAGAGGCGTCTCTGGACAAATTATTAACGTAATAATAAAGAATATAATAATAGCAAGTTAAAGGAAAAACTTTGCTGTAATCAAAAGTCTAGGCGCTTGATTGCATTTATTTGGGACATATCGGCTACAGGCTATTTGCTTCAAATATTTATTATATAAATAATATAATAGTAATAAAGTAAAAATTTATTGTTATACATTTAAAATGAAATTTAACGTTTATCTAAACATCATTTTCCAGATCGGGACCAGGTAATCCTCTTGAGTTTTCAGTTCTAAGATTGGCTGTGTGTATACCAAAGCCTTGCACAACGGAAGAAGCTATATCTGGCCTTTTGTTTAATATAACTTCCTTAGGTTTTCAATATGAGGATGATTTCTGTCGATTGCCAGATGATAAGCCTTGGGTACCAGCGGATTTCACAGCTTTGTAAGTAAAATAACTTTTATGTTAATTAATGTATTTTATTAGTGGGACTTTTGCAATTTTTTAACGTTAGTAAAATAAAATTCAGACATCAAAATGACAGTAGTTTTATATATAAACTGTCATATTTGGTTATAAAAGTTTTTAAAAAGTAAAGTGTTTAAAGTACATTCATTATTTTTTTTTTCAGTGGGATATTTTCCCTGATCGGTTTCCTAACCTTTCTGAGTACCTACTATGAATTAAACCATATCTTCGGTCGAAAAAGAGGTATGTATTTGTGTATAAAATTATATGCATACGATTGATTCCATTCATTTGAAATGTACCCTTATGTTAAATTTAAAATAGCATTCGGGTAATTTTTGAGTTATTTTGAAGACTTTGCTTCTAACAAAGATAAATTTAATATCACGTGCACTTAACTGATTGATTACTATGACATATTCCCATATCTGTATTACAGATCCCAAATCTGCAAATCAAATATTATGTATGTTCTCTATATACAGTAACACAAAGAGACTTTTAACTTTTAAATCTTCACCTGGAGCGTTGGAATGTATAGACGGTGTGAGAGCTTTGGCTATGATATGGGTACTTTTGGGACACAGTTTTTCATCACAGCCATTTACTTATAATGCTATTGAGTCATTTCAGGTGAGAAAATTGTATTTTTTTTTTATTTTTATATCCTCACATGAGTTGACGGCCTCCACTAATGGAGAGGCATTAGAAGAAGATCCTCACATGTTAAGATATTCATTTCGTGTGAATTGTTTCAAAGTTTATATTATACTAGCTGTCGCCGCGACTCCGTCCACGTGTCATTAATAGATAAGTAGATAGTAGTCGATTCTCGAACCCACTGAATTTGCATATAAAATTTCATAAATATAGGTCAAGCTGTTTGGGAGGACTATGGTAACTATCAGCGTGACACCAAAAATTTTATTTATAAGATATAAATTGTTTCTGCGAGAACCTTCTGGTTACTCGTTAAGTTCCAAGAATGGAAAATTGGTCAGTGGCTTTTAACTTCTTGCGTTCTTTTGAATATCTTTGACCTTTGCATATAGTCTTTAATTTTTGAACTTTGTGGAAAAACAATTAAAGGAATTTGCAGCCATGTTTTACTGTTTTTTGCAGTGGATACTGTCCTACGAGGGTTTGTGGATTACGTCCGCCCACATCACAGTGGACACCTTTTTTATGTTGAGCGGCTTACTAGTGGTATATACGACTGCCGGGAAATTAACTTCAGGTAACTAATTTTTAGGTTTTGTTATGATGCATTAAATATTTAAATTCTATTATTAATCAGAATGCACAAGATTTTATCATTAAGTATACCATAAGCCAATATTCTTGGGGTCATTAAATTTAGGTTTGCTTTTTTACATTTTCTTCCATTTATTGATATAATTTTTAATAACATCACATCTTTAAATTTGCAGTTGGTCTTCTGAAAAATATACACGTCTTTTATTTAAATCGTCTTCTACGTATGTTTCCTATATTGGCTACGACTGCTTTGCTAGAAGCCTCAGTTTTCAACCGTATCTCGGATGGCCCTGTTTGGGATACTATTGTCTCGCAAACGCACAGATGTAGGACATTCTGGTGGTCGACTTTGTTGCACCTGCAGAATTACCTTAATTCTGAGAATGTTGTAAGTATTTATTTATGTCTGTAGTTGAAGTTTATAACTGATTATATGATAAAATCCAGCGATCTTGACTATGGATGTAATTTATTGACTACAGTAGAAGTGTAATAATCTGACATACTTGGTGAGATAAATGCCAATATTATAGAATTGAGAAGCATTGTCCGCGTATTGATTCATCGATTTTTTCTAGGGAGCTTTGAGCAACTTCTCAAGCACTGGTCTAGGCGTTCGATACAAAAACACTATCCGCATTCATAGGAAATTCCTTTTTACTGTGCCAACTGATTCTTTGAGTAATAGAACTTCGCCATCAGATTAAGGATTTTTTTATTTTTTAATAAAAAGACTGTGAATGAAATAACGACCCAATAAAATTGTCTTGCAGTGTATTGGTGCGACTTGGTACCTCGCTATTGACGTTCAACTACACTTGCTGTCACCATTCGTACTAGTGTGGGTGCTGAGTGGTAACAAGAAGATTGCTTGGTCAGCGTTGTCAGCTGGCGTTGTGCTGTCGCTCTCAGCTGCCACTGTTTACAACTTTATCAAAGAATTCCCAACAGGAATGATAACAGCTGAGTTAGTTATTATAATTGACATTGAATTTCTTTTGTTATAACAAAAAATATAAATATTTAAACTACTGTGTCAAAACAACACACAAAAATTATAAGGAAGAAATGACGATAAAAAGGAAATGCATGAGAAAATAACAGGATTAATAAGAGCCAATGTGTTCTTCAAGACTATGTTCTACATCTATGCCAAATTTTAGCGAGATCCATGCAGCTTCTGTTCTGGAAATAACTTCTATAAAACATTCATCCATACAGCCAAAGATTCAAAATTCAGATAAATTTTATAACCTTATGTTTATGTCCGTAGGAGAGGTGATGAGATGATGTACTACATGGTATATTATTACATGAACACGCTGACCAGAGCGCCACCATTTCTTGTTGGCATGGTGTTTGGTTACTTACTGCATACGTATCGAGGAAAACCAGTTTATATTTCTACAGTAAGTTTTGGAAATCAAGCACTTACATTACTAACATTTTTACGCTGCAATAATCCAGAAATCTCCATGACTTAAATCTTTTGAATATAGACCGAATGAGTCGAGTAAAACAGATAAAGAAAATTCGATCCCGTTTTTTATCATTCATTGAACTATAAGTGATGGAATTTTGTTTTAGATTTTGAATCTCATATTATGGGCGTTATCTTTATCGCTCCTCTTAACAGTTTGTTACTGCACATACCCGACAATGCAGCCGGGCTGGGATAACCAGACTGTGGACAGTTTGATCAACTCTTTCATGAGACCAGCGTGGGCTTTAGGCTTAGGCTGGCTTATATTCGCTTGTGTTAATGGATATGGTGGTAAGTGAAAATTATACTGAACTATAAATATATTATTTAAATTTATATGCTTAATAAATAAATCATTTATTACCTTTGTCTTCTAAAACGATTTGTCTCCTACGATATCTCAATTCGAAACGACTCAGACAATTTGTGTAACATGGCTAAACGTTTATATCGGAGATAACTCTAAAGTTCATTATCCTCATTATCGTACCATAAATTAAATAAATGTAATCAACTTAAAACTATAGACATTCCATCAAGTTTTTTCCTTAAATTATTGTGGTGGGACAAAACATTTTAGGTTCACAGTTTAGATAACCAAATAACGATTTACATAAATGTTTGTGAAACATTGTACATTCAACAGGTCCCATTAACTGGTTACTATCTCTAAATCTGTGGAAGTTGCCAGCTCGACTGTCATATGCTATGTACATATTGCATTTCTCACTGATGGTCATCTTCAACTCCAGTAATACAGCGCCGATATACTTTACCGTTTCTTACATTGTAAGTAATTTTATCTATGCCTATTTAGTTAAGAAGTTCATTAAGTAGACAGATTTGATGACTGAAGGTACCCTAAAGTCATTAAGATAATATTCTTGGTTTCTTAAATTAAGCAATTTTTTAAATATCGTCTTTAATAAGGTATAGTATTTTTCAAATATCTTGGCGATTGAGTTTGAGCCCGCAAACCCTTTACGCCTAAAATAGGTTTTGCGCGGCGACTCGTGCGATGTTTCGAGCCGTCAAGATATTTGTGTAAAACTATAACATGGGTATGAGTTTGGTAATGAAAATTTTGTTATAATCCTCTTATTGCTTTCAGATATTCCTCTTCTATGGATTTTTTGTATTAACATTTATAGTGGCTATTTTTGTCACGGTATTTATTGATATACCGTTTTCTATATTGTTCAAACTTTTATTGGATAAAGTTAAAGGTACGAATGAAAAGAAAACACAATCGTAACAAAACTTGAACAATCATTTTGATTATCATTATTACTTAACTGTTATTTTATTCGTCACTATTTTACAGGTCAGGGCAAAGAATCAACAAAACCAGTAGATGACAGGGATTTATTTAAAAGTGCTCCCGTATTAAATAGCCATACGAATCGTCGTGTCTCTAACAATAATGGCTTACAGAAGTTTGATTAAGACTATACATGAAACACGTAGAATTGTAGCTTGATAATATTAATAGCTCACAGATAGCTCCAGGCGTGGATAAACAATCTATAGCATTTGAAATAAGAAGGCAAGATTTATTCTATATTAACATATTGCCTGGAAGAGATCGCTTGTAGCGATAAGGCCGCCCTTGCTTTGTAAATTAGTTAATTGTCTTTTTTTATGTATTATTATAGCATTAAGAGTTAATAAATAAATAAATAAATAAATAAATAACACGTACAGTGCAATTATCATAAAGTATACTTCAGCGAATGATGTAGTGTGTTATAAGCCGAAGTACAGCCGTTAACGTACTATGTTGTCAGCTGATGTAAAAGCGGGGGTCACATGTCAATAGGATTATAAGAATATTTTCTCTTTATCGTTATGTACGATAAATCTGAACAAAATTTCACCTTTTTAAACCTAATTACATGTTTGGTATTAATATTTTTATCTGATTAAATACGTATTGATTAATCCATGATAATTCGATACGAGTTTATTTGTTTTTCTTTATCTTGAATATCTTAATAATTAATCAAAGTTGATATTTATCCGTTGTGTTTTGGTGAAAAGAAGGATGACCTTAATATAATGTCTCTATTCGAAGTATATCTTGAAACAAGATCCAGATATTTCCAGGCGTAATTGAACTTTGAAATGTGGGATCAAGAAATTTGTCTTGAATTTATATTTATTCAAATAAGCTACTCCAATTCGGAAGAGAATTACAACATATGCAAACTATGAAAACGTAGACATATAACGAGACATAAACTCATATAAAAACGGCTAAACACTCACGTATATTCCTCCGGTGGCGGCCCGTCACTCAATGGTGAGCGACGGGCCGCGTCCGCGAAATAATACCAGTACCACTCATCCTGATGAAGGGCCCCCGATGGGCTCGAAACTAGTCGGTGCCGCCACCGGAAGAATATACGTGAGTGTTTAGTCGTTTTTATATCAGTTTAGTATAATGTCTCACGAAAGTTTGAATAATTTAATATAGAGAGATAGTCAAGAAGAGAGGTCATAACGCTGATCGAGGAAGATGCGCACAGAGAAAGAGAGAGAGAGAGAGAAACTATAAAAGTATACAAATGATATGGTAAAGCAATTAAAACACAGATTATGTAACAAACATTTTGGAGCAGCAGTTGTATTATAACTGGAGAACAGTTTGAATTTTGAAGTCGACAAATACAAACTCGTGAGCAAAGCTTACTGCAAATATAAGTTTGAAACAATGAATCTAACATTTCATTACCCTGTATTAAGTTTGCAGGAATGAGAATAATAAATGCTATTCTTACTAGTACTAATTTAATTTAAGAGTACGTTGATTGTTGCATTGATTTAGTTTTAAGAATTCGATTTATAATAGTTTGTACTGATCTTTAACTTGTGGACAAGTGGAATCCAAATATAAAAAGACTTTATACGTCAGGAGATGGAGAACGAGCAATGAGGTCATCTAATGTTAGGTACCAACTACCCAAAGACGTAATAAGAAAAGGAAGAAATTGGTTACCGTTAATGGAAAGGATAAGTAGAAAATGATTTGATGCGTTCGTAAAAAAACCATCACCAATAAATGAGAATGGGATTTAAATTTCCATCGTGAAGTTCTTTGTCAATACTCAGTGCTTATATTTAAGAAGGAGGTTTGTCAATTTTATAAATGCATACTTTAAGCTGCAGTTCGATTCACTGAGCGTTTTGCGCAGCTTCTGACACTAATTAGTCTTTCTCTTTTTTACTCTTTTTAAATTGCTCTTGAGTGAGATTTATTACAAAATGTAAAGATTTTTACATTCATCTTGTAGAGGAATAATGAATGACTTGAAGCACTATTTTGTATCTTTGTCATTTTTAAACTGTTATAAAATAAATGTTTCATTTATCGTATTCTTTTGTTTCTTTTAGTTACAACTTTATTTTAGTGAAGAGCATGATATTTGAATGTATTAAGTATAATAAAATATTTACTATTCTAACGACATAGGTAAATGCATAGCTCATTTAAAATTATCCAAAGTCTAGTCAATTACATTTTTTAAGCGTAAACATTTTTAAATTAATTTTGTGTCAATTTTGCTTTAGGGATTTGTTGCATTTATCCAGGTAACCAGATTGATTGAGTCCACTAGACTGCGGACAGTTTAATCAACTAGTTCACGAGAGACGTGGCCTCTAGGCTTACGTTCTGTTAGTCACACGTCTCTTTGTCATTTCAGTAATTGAAATTTAAATATTAATTTTCATACGAATAAAAATACCCTTTGTCAGAATATAAAGGCCAGTTAAATAGATTAAGCTATTATAACTAAATCTATACTAATATTATAAAGCGGAAGAGTTTGTTTGTTTGTTTGTTTAAACGCGCTAATCTCACTTCGGGACTACTGGTCCGATTCGAAAAATTCATTTTTTGTTGGATAGTCAATTTATAGAGGAAGGCTTTAGGCTATATAACATTATGCTGCGATCAATAGGAGCGAATCGTCACAAAGTTTTTTTTTAATCCGCGCGCGGGCGAATCGCGGGCGACAGCTAGTAATAAATAATAAGAATAATATTATATTAAACGATAATAGCAAAGCAAAATCACTTAGATTTAAGATGTAATTTAATAATTCATTCCAATATTGTGAATTGTGCAAGTATTAAATATTTGAGAGTGTTAGAACAATTGAGCTCCCAAAAAACATATATTAAGTAACTGTTCTAACACGATCATTTCATTATGACATAGATTATGTTAATTGCGGAAAAATTATCATCGTTCCCCCAATTTGTCGTTGTCATTGTTTAAAAGGTCTTTTGTCGTCCTTAAAACTTTCTTAATGTCCTCCATTTATAACATTAAGACTAATTTTTAAGGACGACAAACCCTCTATTATACGCTTCGCTCTTGAAATATATAAGTATTCCATAAGATAATTCACCGGAATTTTTAAATACATGACTTTTCAAAGAGATACCTTAAAAATATGGTATTAATTGTTAGGTATAGACAGAATCTTCACATAAAAGTATTTTTAAATATCTGTAAGTACATTTCTGTTCCATTCCGGTCTAATGAAGGTTCAAAAGGTGAGAAAAATTAGAATAATTGCCGGGAAAACCTTAATAACAGCCCTTTTCTTTTTCCCATATAAACATTTTCTAAATAAAACGTAGAGTCAATTTGAACTTTGTTGACTATTTACGTTTTTTTTAATTCCGATCGGACGAAGTCGCAGTTGAGAACTAGTTTTTGTTTAAAATTGTCTTCAATATAGATGATCTTCGAAATAATTAAATCTATCTTATTGATGGACGTCGTATTTAATTAAATTGACTATGACCGTGACAGCTTGTTAATTAGAATGTCTATGCTAGACATCTGTGACTACTGTATCACCTCTAATTTAATACACAATTAATCCAGACACTCATGCGGCTGAAGACGTAATTATATATCACTAGATGTCGCCCGCGATTCCGTCCGCGCGGAATTAAAAAAAACTTAATAAGTAGCCTATTCGTTATTCCAGGCTGTGTTCTACATGTGTTCCAAATTACATCGAAATCCGTTAAGCCGTTCCGGAGATACCTTCAAACAAACATCCACCCATACATCCTAACATTCGCATAAAAAACTTGGACAGTCTTTGAAATACATTTTAGCTTAAACACACGTCAACCCTTTTATACCGTGACTCGACATATCATTGCTATTGAAAACATTATTATAGGTAGACTGGCAAAATTAAGTCTTGGCCAATAAGTAATGAAGTGCTAATACCTGAAGCTGCGTGAAAATACGTATTTATGGTGAAAAACATAACCACGTTGACGTCCATATAAAGCGTCGGACAAAAGGTTAAAGCACGTTTTTAATAAAACAGTGTCTTACTGTATTTTTGTAGTTAAATTGGCAAGTTTTTGGACTGTTCTGTTTAATAATTTATTTATTTTGAATTAATATATTTTATATATTTTGACAAGTGAAACTGTCTTATTCCTTATGGTTGTTTCTTCAATCATAAAAGTACACAGGAGATAAATTCTTAATTCGAAAAGTAGGTTTGATAATTATTATAGAATGAAATTATAGTATTGAGGACGCGGTTGCGCAATTGAATTTTCCAATAGGCTTGATATAATGATCACTATATGTTCAACTCTTCATACAATTGTCAAGTAGTTGTTGCGGTTCGTTACACAATTGCAATATTAATTGGATTTGTGTATTTGTTTCTATCAAACAATTAAAAAAACCTTTTCAACTACGAATAGAAAACTATTAGAGACCTCAATGATCGTGAATTCATTATGAAACTTGAAAAGAAAAGTACCAATATTCATTTTGTATTCACGGTATATTTGGTTTGAATAGCACTTTTGATTTTCGCAATAAGTATTATTTTCATGAAGATAACAATTTTTAATTTATATACATACTAGCTGTCGCCCGCGACTCCGTCCGACCTGAATTAATAATAAACATAAATATAGCCTATGTGTTTTTTTTTATAAGAGAAGGGGGAAACGAGCGGCGGGAACACCGAGGTGATCATCGACACCCATGGACATCTGCAACACCAGAGGAACTGTAGATGCGTTGCCGGCCTTTAAGAAAATGGTATGCTCGCTTCTTGAAGGTCCCTAAGTCGTATTGGTTTGGAAATACCGCCGAGGTCAGACCGTTCCACAACGCGACTGTGCGAGGTAAGAAATTGCGTGAGAATCGCACCGTTGTGGAACGCCAGCCATCCAGGTGGTGTGGATGGAACCTGGCGGTCTGTCGTGTCGTCCGATTACGGAACTCGGCGGCAGGAATCGTTCCAAACAGTTCTTCGGAACACTCCCCATGGTAAATGCGGTAAAAAATGCAGAGGGAACTAACGTCCCTCCGCAAGGCCAGGGAATCAAGCCGATCGGTAAGACCTCGGTCGTTGACGATTCGAGTCGCTCTCCAATGTGTTAATCCAGGCGAACACAGCTTGGAATAACATATGTATGCTGAATTTAATTGAGATCGGTTCAGCTGTTCTGGAGATACGTTCAAATAAACATTCATTTATCCATTCATCTAAACTTTCGCATTTATAATAATAGTACCTGGATGACCGGTATTTTTTTTTAAATTGTGTTTTTTGGAAATTGTATTTAAGTACGAATTACTAATAAAATGATGAAATATGAATAATATTTTTCGATC